CCCCAAAACCCCAAAACCCCAAAACCCCAAAACCCCTATATGTCGGCCAAAAAATGAAATAATTACATCTTATTAGCAAACAATATGGGAAACGTAGTTGGTTGTAGAAGAAGAGGAGCAGCAGAGAGAAGACTTGTTAGACAGCCTGCTGAAGAATCAGAGTATATTAAGAAGATCTTTGATTTTGATTGGAATAGAGGATTGGATAAAGCCCTAGAGCATGAAGGTCCTATTACAGTCCAAGAAATCATTGCTCTTAGACTTACAAATGATAATGGAGAGCAAGCGACTCCCCATGTAGCTCATGTTGCCTTCACTGAATTCAAGAAGTTCATGTTCTTAAACAAGATTTATCTGAATGAAAAACAAAGAAGGAGAGAAGCGAACCCAGAGGAAGAGAAAACTACTGCCCAAAAGCTAAGCATTGGCTTGTTTGCTCCTCCAATCATTGATGCTGTTTGGAGTATTCTTATATCTCTTGATATCCCAAGCGGTAAGTCTCATCGTGCTTAGTTTATAGGTAACGGAGATGGAGAAAGGATTTACAATGCATTCTGTCAAGAAATTTTTGGGGATATTTTGGATAAACCATTAACAGAAGAAATGGACAAAGAGGCCAAAATGACTCCAAATCATAGTTATGACGACACTTGGTATTTCATCAATACTTTTAAGCACGAACTCAACTTGTATTGACCATTGTGGCCAGACATGTCAAATGAGACCTACTTTGTCGAACTCAATTCAGTACTATGGCTTACGCCTAAGCAACTTGAGGAGACTGAAGGTCTTTTGAGCCACAAAGCTGAACAAGATATAGATACAGTTGATTGTGAAGCTTTAGTGAACTCAGCGACTGAATATTTAGCAATTGTTCAACAAAACAATAATGCTGTTGTAGAGAAGCCTAGCAAGTTCTCAAAGGATAAGTATAAGCCATCTTGTAAGAAGCATAAGGCTACTACAGTGTCAAAGATCTACAAAATCTTTACTTCAGAGTCTGCTGGAAACACAACTTTCAGAAGAAAGCTCCAACAAAAGTACGGACTTAATGAAGAGACTGCAAAATCTTGGCTGATTGAGTTCATCAAATTCTTAACATTGAAAATCATTGAGACTGATCCAGATGTCAGCAGCAATTCTTTCCCAAGTAGCCTTGTTGAGCAGGTATGGACGACATACCAGGAGCTTGGTTTCTACTATAGAGTGACTTCTCAAGCAATATTTGGAGAAACCCATCTTTTCCCAGAGAGTGCTTTGACTAGTATGCACAAGAGAGAAGAAACCTCTCAAAGATATGCTGATACTCTCGACTTCTACGAAAAGGTGTTCGAGCATAAGCCACCTGCTGAATTTTGGGAAACTGCTGAGGAGAGATTCCTAGCAGAGGGAGATTACCTAGACAATGATAACAACAGAAGAATAGCAGTAAACTTCTATAGACTTTTGGTGGCAAAGGCTGTAGATAAAACTCTTGATACCTCCAACAATCTAGAACTTGTAGTCTTTGATGGAATTGAAGGTAAAGATTACTTAAAGAGTGATGATGAGAAGACTCTTTCAAGAGAATCAGCTAAAGGAGATGGTAAACTTCTCGACTGGAGAGTAAACTACCCTCACTTCAGCAATGTTTACTTCAGACATAAACTCACTGGGAAGAAATATTTCCCAAATGTGTTTGAAAATGATTATGAAGACGCAATTGCTTTAGCAAAAGGAGGGTATCTTTTCTTCCTTGACCCTCACAACGATTTGACTTTACAACTCGCTCAGTTGCCTAAGCTCCCAGAAGTCAAGACCAAGAGTTTAGACGATATTGCTGATTACGCAGAGACCAGCTACAGCTTCGAAGAGTAAACCAAGGGTGCCATGGATATGGATATTCTTGATGAATCAAAATTCAATACTATTTTTATCAAACGGGGTTTTGGGGTTTTGGGGTTTTGGGGTTTTGGGGTTTTGGGG